CCCCCACACACACACACATTTAACCGACCAGCCCTAGACCGAGACCTATGCGTCAGTGGAAAGTAGGGTGTGTAACTGTAAACACTGTCCATCACTCTCTTTGTACGGCGTGAGGGGCACTCTCACCAAATACATGTATCCGGTTTTCTAGTAAATTCTAGGCTTGTCTTATGCAGGCTGTGCAGGTTGTAGTGGAAGTTTTCCCCATGCGAAGCTTAACTTGTCGGCGTGTTTCACGGATCGGAGCGTGCGTTTAGAGGGAGGGACCGTGCGTTTGTACGTCTAAATTATATAGTAAAAAACCCGTCAGATGACGAAAGCGTGCGTTTGAGCGGAGCGTGCTTTTGTATGGCGTGCGTTTAGGCGGAGACTACTGTACAGACACATCCACACGCACTAACACACACACACACACACACACACACACACACACACACGCGCGCGCACATACACTCATACACACTCACACGCGGGTGTACAGACACACACACAGACACATACAGACACTCACACAGATGAACACAGACACACAATCACACACACAGAAAGACACACACACTCACACAGACAGACAAATAGACAGACAGACACACACAAACAAACACACACACTTTTAAAGATTCACGTAGACATACAAACACATCCACACGCACTAACGCACAAACAAACATACACTCTATTACACATAACCACATACAGGCTTATACTACACGTACAGAGGGAGAGAGACACACACATGCACACACATGAAAACACACCAAAAAATCACTCATAAACACATGCATACACTATCTTATACACATGCAGATGGACAGGCACACACATGCACACAAACACACTGACACCTGCCACACACACACACACGTACACACACACACGCAGGGGCGAAGCGTCTATATAATCAAATAATCACTGCTTCCCTTTCTAATTTTGAAACATTGTCGCTGTCAAATTCATCCTTAAACGTAAACCTCGTAAATTAAATGTCAAAAGACGTTCGTAATCAACAAATAAAGTGAGGCTGGAATAGAGTTGAAGGGAACATGTGCATGGCAGTCAAAGCTGTTTCATTGCCACATATACCCTGTTCACCCCTTTGGGGCCACAGTTAAAATCAATCACCAGCCCTAATTAAGTAAGCAAACTAACACTGGTCGAGTCTACCTCACAAATGTGAGGGGAACTAACTCTTATTAAGAGTCTTAATAATCTCTTGACTGCTGCTTGTGCTTGTTTTTTTAAATTTTACCGTCCTATAATCAGATCGTGACCTCGATTATGACACCAGCTCCTGGCCGCGAAAGGCTAACAGAAACAGCCAAATGTGAAATTTAAAAAATAATAATTGTCATGTTCTACCAAAGAGTTAGACTCACTGGTAGATCTATAACATATAGATCTAGTACTGACATCTCTGCTTCTTTGCTTTATGTTTATGTATTCACATCTAAAGTTAAGTTTAATTTTAGTGGGAACTGATATTTAATAAGATACTTTCCCGATTATTTTGGCGGTTGAACATACAATATGAATTCCGGATTTGTTTTCATTCACAACTCAGGGTCGCCGCCTCGAGTAAGATTCTTGTGTGATATCTACAGGCCCTATCTGGTCCCATTTCACTTTGATTACCCTGTCAAACAAGCCAGCCTTCGCCCCTGCACACACGTACACACGCAGACACACACAGACACTTGCAGACACACACACACACACACACGCGCGCGCGCAGACACACACACACAGACGCACACACACACATACACACACATGCAGACACACACACACAGACGCACACACATATACACCCACTCAGAAGCGCACACAGACACAGACACACACACTCACACACAGAGACACAAACAGACACTCACACAGACAAACACATACACACGCACACAAACACTCATACATACATGCAAACTCAGGCTTATACACATACAGATGGATAAACACACACGCACA